GTATTTATCCAAGACACTTTTTTAAAGATCTGATGTTAAATAGGAAGCTTATCAATTCAACATGTCTGTGCTCGGAAAGATCACTGGGGTTTTTCCTAGTTATGCATTCATAAATACATAGATAAATGGGCACACGCATGAATAGACATAAAATGAACTAACCGAATTTCCTATAGCTTGAGAAATAAACTTTTATAAGTATATGTATCAGGTAAGGATGAGCAAGCGATTGATATTGGCTTGTAAGTAATTCGGTAAAAGAAGGGGTCTTGGCCTAGATGATGTTGATAAAATGAGATACTAAAGCTTAGCACACTTTTACTCGAGCTGAGAGCGCCTCGATAAATGCTTCATAATGAACGTCCTGAAAAAATCAAATTACAACAGACAAATTCAGTCAAGTTCTGATCAAATAAATAAATGAATTTCTCCATCAAATACTTTTAAACGAAATGAAAATATGGCACACCCACAATGACAAGCACAATGAAGAGTAAGATAGTCGTCTTTATCATGCAGAAGGTCTATAAACAGATGCCAGGCCAAGGCTTGAGCTAAGCAGGGTCAAAAGCCTACTGGTTTTAAGAAAGAAAATATAGTTTACCATATTCTTCTCTAAGGTACGTGACTATACTCTGATAAGGAAAACGAGAGGATAATCTGTCTTCCCTATTCTTTTTTGATTTATATGGAATCCTTTTACTGCTAATCTTATATGAATGAAATAAGCTCCCAATTCTACTGGCTAGGTGTTTTAAAGGCTGCTGAAATGAATTTCGCATTTAGGCCAAATAGCTTCTTTTAAAAGTAAATCAAAACACTTGCCTGATGAATAATTAAAGCCAATTATTGATGAAATTAGAGGACAAACTTGAAGGGTAAAATGGTTTTGCCTCATCATGGCATCAATCGACCAGTTCAAGCAACCTCAATTGCAAACAGCCAGAGTCACCGCTAGAGCTATTGGCTAATTTAACAGCTCACCTGAATAAGCGATCCTGGATCATAACTCCGCAAATAGTGTCCTGTTCCGTTTACTGAATGCCTTATCCCTTCCGGAAGCTGTGAGCTAACCGTCTCTGATAGCAGTGCATTGTTCATCAATGTCAGTAGTTCAGGGTTGAAAGTAGTTCCAAGTTGACCGGAAACCGTTGCTCGGCTCGTGCCCCGGTTCAATACGCGGTTGCTTGCGTGCTGGTGGCTAACTGTCAAAAATCCGGTAAATTGAGGAAGTCGCTCCTGAAGGTGTCTGGAGCCGTAGGATAGAAGTGTGTGTTGTTGCGGCTCAAGTAAACGACGCCTACGACGAGAATTGTAGCAAATATTGGACCTGATCAATTCGGGATTTGTAACTAACCGTTGAACTTGAGAATCTTGAATAGGATCCCCAGAAATCCAGTTGACCGGTCCTTTTCTCCAGGTCCACCTTTTGATACGGATGCAGACTGTCATCCGAATGCCCGGCAGAGTGGATCGAACACTCGGGGCTCGGGTAATAGCAGAATCGAGGGAGTCCATTAACGAAGCATAGCCATAGACTCCGATTCCAGCCAAGAAAATAGGACATGATACCTATAATAATGATAAGAGGTAAGATAAAGAGATGGTTAATCTTTCGGAAAGGTGATTTTGAGTGCCTATTCTTGCTACATAATGTGATATTAGCATCAGAGTTATCTAGTTATTTGAAGTATTTGCCCTGAATATTTAGATAAATTTTATATTTCCCGGAGAGTGGTAGGTGTGGTAAGCTAATAAGGAAGAAGTCAAACTATATCGAGAAAAATATACCTCAAACCTATTGGCACCTGAGACTAACCTCGAAAGCCAAAGTGTCGTGATGCTGAATCTCAGTTGGTCCCTGTGATGACTGTCTCAACCCCGCATACAATGTTGTAATAGCGGTCTCAGGCTGCCTTAATCCAGGACACCGTTTCTTCATGGCACGCAGAAAACGGATGCACCGATGAAGAGGATGTCCGGTCCGCGGTAGAGTAGAAAATGTAAGATCAGGAGCTGATGGGGTGGATGGGGAAATTGCGAAATGCTATAAAGAGCTCCTAAACAACAAGAAGAGGTGGGTTTTAGTTCAAATTCTTCCGTTGATTCATAGTGTTTAATGGGGAAATTGAGCTAGTAACGACGACTACCTAGACAGTAAGTGGGCTCCAGGGCATTTTAACAAGAATTAGAAGAGGAGTGGAGCGAACTTAATGCCAAACTGCGGCGTTAAAGTACAGACCATCTTATATTTAGATACTAGAGCATAAAAGAATGCTAAGAAATTCTATGATGGGGATGCTTACAAGAACCGAAGAGATAGTATTTGTCGATAACTTGGTTCCAAAAGGTTAGATTAAACTAGGCTAGAATAAACTGCCGCCTAACTTTTGTATGGCTATATTATGACAGGCTATTTGGGTTCAATTTTGATGTAGCAATCTAATGCATTAACACATATGCAGGAGGCGGTTCAAATTTATGAAATCCTAAAGAATTTCAATCTGAAAAAATACCTAAAACATTTTGCCAGATAATCTATTTTTTAAGAGTAAAATTACCATTTTACGCACTTAATTTTACCTCTTTTGTGTATCTGTAGAGGCCACCGGATAAAAATATCAAAGGTAGCTGAAAACATAAAAACAACTAGACATGAGATTGTCTTGTCTATAATTTGTCGTTTTGCTGATTATGATATGCCTGCAGCTAAGTCCGAAATTAGAAAAGTAATCGAAACGAACAGCATTAAATGTCAGGAACACCACTCAAAATGTAAGAATACTTATGCTTAAGTCTTAGGCTCAAGGATAGAAAGGGCGTTGAGCTGTCTGAAAATGGGAGGGAAGAGACTAATTTTTTATCAATACCGATCACACTTTTTTAGTTCGTTCTCACTCTCCCTCATACTTAGATAAGGAGCTCATCAACGTGTGTCAAAAGTTAGAAAACCGGACTGGTGGTCAAAATAAAAAAAAAGGAGGGGGTGATTGAGTCATTAAACCCTGATTACCAGAGAACAGAACACGTTGCTAACTTTTATTCTCTTCCAGTAATATTTCCAGAGTTGTTAGAATATTTTAATGAGTATCTGCAAATAAATTGAAGGAACGATAGTGTTGTAAGAAAGCTCATTAATCTGGCTGTCGTATTGTCTTTCTGTTTCATTGAGACACATTTAATAAGGCTCAGTAGTGAACTCAATTCCTAATGCGTAGAATGTGAAACAGACTAAGATAAATAATTTGTAAACAGCGACAATATTGTCAAGCATACTAGAATTTATACCAAAATACTTAATCATCTATGATGATAACAATATTTACAAGTTTGTTCCTGTTTTTTGTTTAGTATAACATTAAATACGAGTACATATCCAAGAAATGTCTTTAGCCAGGTAAAAACTAAAATACTGCATTTTAATAAGGTAATGGGCTAGTTATGACATTTGCGGCGATGATTTATCGTCACGTTACTGTATGAAAGTTGACAAAAAT